CCCCCCCAGACCCCAAATCCCCCCCCAGACCCCAGACGCCCCCGCCCGGCCCCGCTCCCGGTTTCCCTCCAGCATCGCCGCTTTCACAGGAGCTCCCGCTGGCTCTGGGTGCGGCCGGGGGTGCCCTGTTTTGGGGGAATTCGGGCCATTTTGGGCCATTTTGGGCCATTTTGGGCCATTTTGGGCCATTTTGGGCCATTTTGGGCCATTTTGGGCCATTTTGGGCCCATCCGCCGCAGCCGCGGCCGCCGCTCGGCGCTGCCATCGCGCCCCCTGGCGGCCGCGCCGCGCGCCGCGGGCACAGCGCCCCCTGCAGGCCGCGCGCGGCTGAGGGAGCGGCCGTGTCGCCGTGGCCGGGGAGGGGACACCGCCACCCGCGACATTTCCACGGCACTGCCCGGGCACGGACAGCACCGCGGAGGTGATCTGGGCGGATTCACGGTGACAGGAGTCTGTTGTCAGCGGCTGGCCCTCGGTGGTGTTGAGCGCTGTGTCCCTCACAGTGGGACTGTGTCCCGTGGTGTGTGGGTGTCACACAATGGCATGGGATTGTGGAATGGTTTGGGTTGGAAGGGACCTTAAAGATCACCTGGTTCCCCCTCTGCCATGGCAGGGACACCTTCCACTATCCCAGGTTGCTCTGAGCCCCGTCCAACCTGGCCCTGGACATTCCCAGGGATCCAGGGGCAGCCACAGCTGCTCTGGGCATCCTGTGCCAGGGCCTGCCCACCCTCACGGGGAACTATTCCTTCCCAATATCCGAACCTAAATTTCCCCTCTTTCAGTGTGAAGCCATTCCCCCTTGTCCTGTCACTCCAGTTCCTGATGCAGAATCCCTGTCCTGCTTCCTTGCAGCCCCTTCAGACACTGGAAGGTGCTGTGGGGTCTGCACACAACCAGGCTGAACATCCCTAATTTTCTCACCTTGTCCCCTTAGGGAAGGTTTCCCAATCCCTTTTTCAGCCTCCTGGCCCTCAGGTACTCTCCTCAGTGCCTGCTCAACACCTGACAGGAGGAGCCAGCTGGGGGTCAGTCACTTCTCCCAGCCAACAAGGACAAGAGGAAACAGCCTCAGGTTGCACCAAGGCAGGTTTAGATGGGATATTAGGAAGAATTTCTTCACTGAAAGGGTGACCAAGGAGAGGCTGCTCAGGGCAGGGGTGGAATCACCATCCCTGGAGGTGTTCAAAAACCATTTAACGTGGCATTTACAGTTTAACAGTGGACCTGGCAATGCTGGATTGATGGTTGGACTCAATGATCTTGGAGGTCTTTTCCAGCTTTAGGGATTGTGTGATTCTCCAATGCTGGGATGGCAGGACAGCACTACAGCCACCATCTCCTGCAGCGGGAGGCTGAGCACTCCTCGTGGAGACACAGGATACTTTGGGATGACTTCAGCCTGATTTGTTTATAAATTTAGAATTTGCCTCCAGAGCTCGCAACTTGGCATTTTTCACGAGACCTAAATATACTCCTTGAAGGCGTGAACTGTTTCCATAATAAAGCCTTTTGGAATTGACTTGTGAAAACTCATTTAAAGCTGTATTTTGGCAGAGTGAGGGGAAGTGCTGACTGCAGTGGTAGAGCTTGTTCACAGTATAGAGGGAAGAGCTGAGAGGAAGGGAGTAGAGAAGGGCAGCTAAAACTACCTGCTACTAACATCACCTTACACGGCCCATTAAAGATCCTGTTTCCAACAGTTTCACCAGTTTTTCATGCTTGGGTTGGAATTTTCTTTATCACATTTCTGGATCAGGCCAAACTTCTACAATAAATTTCACCCAAGAGGATTTTTTTCTGGGTTTAAGAATAAAGTTGTGCCACAGATACAACTTAACCTTGAACAACTTTCCTTGGAGTGTTACAGATTTTTGGCAGGTAGTTTTTTGATGTTCTCAAAATATCTGGAGGAAAAAAATCAATCACATCAGAAGATTTGGGGAGTTCACATTCAGGAAATTCAGGAACAATTTCTTAAGCAGGGGTCCCCTTAGATCTGATCCATCAGAGGTGTGTTCAGCTCAAGACTGAACAAGATTTCCACTGAAATTACAACTCCATGCTGCTGCAGAGCAGATCAGGGAGAGATGCCTACAAAGAAAGCTGGCAGGCTGCATCCCGCAGATAGGGAGAGTGTAGGATTTAGGCTCTGTAGGTCTGAGGAAACACATAAAAAAACCATTCACTAAGGATTATTTATTAAATAATACCAGAATTCAGCCATCCGTGCCCACCTGGATAGGATCTGTGCAGAGATGCAGTAAGTTACACACCCTGCAAAGTCCCTTTCTCATGTCCCTCTGCTGGTTTGGCCCAGGATGATCATTAGGACCTTCAAAATGTGAAGGCTGTAAGAAACCCAAGAGCACACACGTTTCAAGTGATGTCAGAAGCCTCGTCCCAGAGGCTCCTGTCAGAGCATTTGGTGCTCCTTGTGCCCAGGGCTGGAGGGAGCCCTGGAGCCCGGGCAGTGCCCAAGGCAGGGACAGCAAGGGCAGGAGGCTCAGGGCTGTTTCCAGTTGGGTTCTGAATAACTCTCATGGGTGGAGACACAAATGCTCTGGGAAACCTGTTCCAGTGTTTAGTCACCCTTACAGTAAAGTAGATTTTCTCATGTTTAAATGAAATTTCCTGTGTTTCAGTCTGGGCCCTTTGTCCCTTTCGCTGTCACTGGGCACAGCTGAGAAGAGGCTTCTCCAGCCTGAGCAATCCCAGCTCCATCAGCCTCTCCCAGAGGGGCAGATGCTCCAACTAAGACAGTGCAATTACAGCAACTCTCCCCAAATTCCAGTATATCACATTATAGGATCTGCAGTGATTTCACCATCCACAGAGATTAACAGATCTATACTTACCTCCCACTGAACATATGGATTTGAGCTACTCTAGCTCCTCTGTCAGCAAAATGGCTAATTTTAATGGAGGCAATAGGAAATATTATTAAATAATGCAAAGGAAACATTGCATTGCAACTCCATGAAAATGGCATTGGGGTTTTCCACCTTTATCTGGTAATTACCAACTTGAGGGCTCTGTTGAAATGCAAAGTGATGTCTTTCGTAGCTTTCAAATACATCCTGTGATCTAAACGCCAAATAATTTTCATCCACATCAACACTGGCAATGAATATCCTGCTTAGCCAAAAAATTACAGTAATGACACCTAAGCTGGTGCCCTGACTTCAGAGAGGTCTTAAGCAACACTTCACAAACACAGTGATGTGAAATCTCCAGAGTCACCTGTGCAAACCCATGGAAACTGGAGTTGCATCATGAAAAAATAAGATTGCAGATAAGGTTACCTGCTTGTTCCACACCTCTACTCAGTTGAACTCACAGAATTTAATATATTAACTTTTTTTGGTTAAGCCTGAATACTCTTCATGGTAACAAACCTAAGGGACAATGAGAGGAATCCCCTTCCTTCTTGTGCATTGCTCCCACTGTAAAACACCTTTCCTGTAGCTGCAAATCTCCTGATAACTAAAACCAGAGCTCAGCTCTGCTGGAGATACTCCACATGACCCAGAGAACCCAGCTCAGCATGGCCAGCACTCCAGCACTGGCACCAGGAACCACTCTTCCCCCAAAAGCCTTCTACTTCTGAGTGCCAGCAGCAAGAACCTGTGAAAAATGAACAGATGCTGCTTGTACCTTTTGACTTTTCAGGGTGGAAGCACATTTCAAGCAACCTTTTTCACTGGCACCATCTGAGAATATTGGCAGTGTGGTGGAGGGAGATGAGCGGAGAGATCTCCAAAGCCTCCCTTGGAATTACATCCAGTAAATTCCATTTCCTCCACAAGACTGAACCAGCCCTGGGACTAGTTCAGGTCAGTGTGACCCATTTCAGTTTGAAAACACTTCTT